TCTTTCTTTCTTTCTTTCTTTCTTTCTTTCTCTCTCTCTTTCTTTCTTTCTTTCTTTCTCTCTCTCTCTTTCTTTCTCTTTCTTTCTTTCTTTCTCTTTCTTTCTTTCTTTCTTTCTTTCTTTCTTTCTTTCTTTCTTTCTTTCTTTCTTTCTTTCTTTCTTTCTTTCTTCTTTCCCTCCCTCCCTCCCTTCCTCCTTCCTTCCTTCCTTCCTTTCAAGAATTATTTTATTTAACTTTATTTATTTTAATTTGACCAGAGAGAGAGAGGGAAAGTGAGAAAGCAAGCCGCTGGGCCAGGACTTGAACTGTGATTGCCTGTTGGCGTCCGCCACAGGGCTTGGGTCTGGCTGAATCATGATCAGAGGGCTGCTGGTGAGGAAGAGAAAGAGGATGAGAAAGAGAAAGCCCTCCATCTTGCCAGGACCGGGAAATTGGAAAGAATGAGACAAAGGGAGAGAGTAGAAACGGACACAGGCAGCCTGAGCCTAGGTAGCCCAAGCAACTTGTGCCGCCCAGATGAACTGGACGTCTTTATTTATAGTACAAGGAGACATTACACATGTATGTTTCATGATACTTCATGGATTGGTTGCCAGGTTACAGACAATAAGAAGCAGTTAACAAGTCTATAAGAGATTAGTCATACCAGGGGCCAGGTGTATCCCTTGGTGGTAATCCCATCTAGAGAAAATCTCATCTTCTTTTCTAATGCAGAGAACTAGCTGTTAGGTGTGGGGAAGGAGCTAAAGAACTTCTCAATAAGGAGTGTACTACCACACCCAGAGAAGTCTGAAGAACCTTTCAGATGCAGAGCAGGGATTGGATTTTACTAATTGGGGTCAAGATGTTTCTTGAAGTCCATCAGATGTGTCTGTTGGAACGCCCCTAGCAATTTCCACCCTTGCTCTGTCTGCAGCCAAAGTCAAGGAAAGACAAGTTATAAGGTGCTGCCAAACCCCAAAAAAGCATGTGGTATTTGCTCAGCGCATGTCCCCACACCTCAGACTCTCTCTCTTAAACATGTCCCCACAATCACCCTGTGGGAATCTAGTGCCTTCAACCACTACACCACCTGCCAGCCCCAGGTGTGTTTTGTGATCTACCAAGGAACCAAAGAATCAGTTCTAATGTGTACTGTCAGCAATTAGATAGTTCCAATGAATCCATCATCTAGAAACATCCAGAACTCATCAATTTAAAGGAATTATGTTCCATCTGACAATGTGAGACCACATGCAACTTTGATCACCCATCAAAAATTATTGGAGCTTGGATGGGATATGTTGCCACACCCACCAACTCACCTGACCTTGAGCTGTCACACTTCCACTTGTTTCACTCTCTTCAAAACTCCTTGTGTGTAGGTCTGGCAGGTGGCATGCTGGTTAAGGGCACTGGACTCCCACATAGCCGACCTCAGGTTGAGTCCTGGACCTGGTGGCTTGTTTTCTAACTTTCCTTTTCTCTCTCTTTCTGTCTCTCTCTGGTCAAATTTAAATAAATAAATAAAGTTAAATAATTTTAAAAATCTTCCTTGTGTGGTATAACGTTCAATTCAGCATCTTACTCAGTTTTTCGCCATTAGAATAGGTCCCTCCATGAACAATTATGAAGCTCACTGAAAGATGACAAAGATTACTGAATAAAAAAAAACCCAGCAATTTATCATTGATCTTTGTTCTTTATATAAATAAGTGACCTTTGAAAAACAGAAATATGTCATGACTTTTCTGACAACCCAACAGAAAGTCCACTGATAGGGTTATTGTGTACTACTGTGCATCTTGTATGTTACACAAAGGGATCTTGAATTCAGCTTGTACTTTATAAGACATTAGCCCATGGAACTGTGCTACTTTCTAATCTGCCCAAAAGGCTTCATTACTAATCCAGCTGTCCAAAGGGGGTGCCTGTTTCTAATTTGAGCAGAGGTGCTATATAGGTTAGTGCCTCCTCTGTTACCCACTGGAGCCATATACCATAACACCTTAGGAATGTCTGTGGCTCCTACCACCCTTCTGGATCCTTTGACTTACCTTTATTCATCACATACTTTATGGGCTTAGTATGTGTTCCAGCTAGAAAGCCATAGAGGGGATCAAACAGAAGAGTTAGGTTGGGATAGATTTAGGAAAATAAGGAAATAACTTGGTATTAGACAATGGAGACTAATGTATAGTTTGCAAATACCTAATATGTAAATATTAAGTTTACCCCAATGCCTCCTAGAAATTTGCTGGTTAATTTACAAAAGCATAGTATTCTATTTATAGTCAGTGTTTCATTCATAAATATGACTTTTAATACATTTAGTTTCTAGTCCACTTTTATAGTCACAGAAGTCAAGAAACCTACTCTCAGGTTGAGGACCTGGAGAGACCTAAAGACAAAGAGGGCTATACTCTTATTAGGTCAAAGGGCCAATGACATGGAGGACACTAGAGCACTGTCTTGTCCTTAGACAAATGAGATGTTATATCATACAGATAATGTTTCCCTTGGGCAGAATTGAGATGATTTATTAGTACCACATATCTCTGCAAAGAGTCACTACCTGACTTCATAGATTTTCAGAGTTGGTTCTGTGTTTTAAGATAAACAGAGTTGCTCCAGTATCAAATTTAACAACAAAACATAGAAGATGAATGGTTATAAAGAATACTCTACATGTGGAAAGCATCTGTGTCTGGACCCGTATGCTTTGTTACCAAAACAAGTGCATCAAATTACAACTAAAGTCATACAGAAATTAAAAGAATCTGGATGAGATCAAGGTTTTTATGTGTGCTAATTAAAGTGACATGATAGAAAAAAAAAAAAAGAAAAAGAAAACTACAATCAATCCCTAAAAAGAAAGCACAGGAGCCAGCAGGTTTGTGGTGGTTAAGGCACTGGATCCCACATAGCCAACTCTGGTTTGAAACTTGGACCTGGTGGCTTGAAAAACACACTGGGTACATGTGTGTACATGCCCAAAATTCCAAGGAGAAATTGGAGAAGATATTGTGGTGTGGCCATCCCTCTGGGCAGGGGGGGAGGGGGAGGTGGTGGTTTCTCACTTTCTTCTCCACTCCCTGCAAGCATGCAGTTCCTCTAGCAAACATTTTAAAAAAAATTTTTAAAAAATAGAGTGCCAGCAGGTGGTGTGGTGGTTAAGCTGCTGGGCTGCTGGACTCCCACATGGATGACTGTGGTTCAAATCCTGGATCTGGCATTGGGCACGTGTGTGTGCACACCCAAAATCCCAGGAGGACAGAGGAGAAGGAATTGCAGAATGGCTATCCCCTTGGGGAGTGATTTCTCACTTTCCTTCTCACTGTTTTCTCTTTCTCTCTCTGATGAGCACTTGTATCCTATGGCAAAAACCTTAAAAGAGAGAGAGAGAAAGCACGGTTTAGACAGTAAAGAGCATAGGATTTAATTTCTGAGCAAATGTTTATCTATGTATACATTACAACTAGCAAATACACAAGGTATATTCATATAGCAAAAAAAGAGGACCCCAGACTACAGTACATTTTACTGAATGGGTAATACGGTGACTTACCTTTGGGTTTTGAGGCAGCCCCTGGAATCCCAGGTAGGATTAGACCGTTAAGTGTTCTGGGCTGTTTAGTCACATATCTGGTTACTTGTGCTTGTTTACCACCTTGAAAAGAAAACTTGTAACCATGAAATGCTAATTATCCTATTTTAATTTTCCCTGAAACAGTTTTTCAATTCCCATGAGACAAGTAAAACCAATGGTTGAAGCTACCTGGTAAGTCTGCTGTTTTTTTAACTGGGTAGAACCTAATTTCATAAGATAAGCATAAACGAAGTGGGTATTGTATTAAAACCAAAAATAAAATAATGAAAGAACATTGACTCCTGTCCATCACACAAAAATTGTTCTTTTATCATGTAGCTGAAAGGAAATATTTAGCTCTAGTCTAGCAGCTGCCCTATATTTATCTGAGGAACTGTAATAAACAGATATCTACAGAATGTTTGGGTTCTAACTTGGAGCACCGGTGTGAGGTCACATCATATTGTCACAACGGAATTCCTTAATGGAACCAAGTCAGCCAGTGGGGTGACCAACAGAATCAGGGGGGCCTAGTGAGAGCTCAGGTTTTGGATATAGATATGAACATGATTAGGTCCTCATCTTCAGGAAGTATACAGATTAGTGAGGGGGCAGAAAGAAATTATTCAGTGAGATACATTAGCAGCCAGCAGAGAAGGAATCAGGAGTAATACTGGAAAGCAGGACTCTTTGTCAAAATGTTTCAATTCTAATTCTCATCTTTGGCTTCCTAGAGTTTTGAGCTGGATCAAGTTACTTGAACCCGCTGAGCTTCAGTTTCCTCATCTGTAAAATAGAAAGAAGTAATACCCACTTCACAGGGTTATATCATAGTTAAATAATGCAATCCATTCAAAGCTCAAAAACCAGAACAGGCACTGAATAAATGTTAGTTCTTTTTATAACATAGAATAGTGCCGATATTTGCAGTAAGGTAATTCAGTGTCCCTCTGACATCTGGAAACTTTGGAAACCTAGATCCAAGTGGGTTGCCGCCAAAAGTTTCTTTAAAGGAGATAAACTGAATCCTTTCAAAAGGTGGAGATGGGATGGGAAAGTATATGGCATGGGTGGCTGACCTGTACTTGTCCTTATTCCATTGAAGTTTCATGATATACATGGCAGGTTTCAATTTACCTCCACCAATTATGATGAGCTAACAGACCAAGGGATCCTTAGATGTTCATAAAATCCCCTGGGGTTAGGAATTGGTTACAACTACACCGTACCCCAAATGGCAACTATCTTTTCTGTTTGGTGACTGTCAGGGACAAGACAGTCCAGATATTGTGTGGTGAACTTTAGCCAGTTTCTTGCTTTATTCTTTTATTTCCAGTGTACTTATTTCTACCATGAGAGAGACAGAGACAGAGAGATAGGCATACTCAACAGGGTCTTTTTTAAAAAAATATTTTTTATTTATTCATTCATTTATTTTAATTTGATCAGAGACAGACACAGACAGAAAGAGAGAGAGAGGGAAAGTGAGAAAGCAAACTACCAGACCCAGGACTTGAACCATGGTCCACCATGTGGGAGTGTCCAGCACCTTAACCACCACACCACCTGCTGGTCCCAACAGGGTCTTCATGCTGATAGCCACTCCCTGATAGTTTCAGTCAGCCTGGATCACAAAGACACATGTGGGCACCTAACAGGCCCAACTGTGCTTCCACTGGGCCACCACCTGGCCCTTGCTTTATTCCCAAAACACTCTTGTTTTTCTCTTAACTCACTATGCCTGGGGATATCCCATATGAGATCTTGTTTTATTATTTTTTTCTCCCCTTTTCTGAGTTTTCAGTCTCAGAGTGCTTTTCTTAAACATGACCAGATGAATCCATCTGCTGTCCCTCTCTTTGGGTTTGTTTTGGGACTGTTAAACTACCCTTGGTCACTGCTGTATTAGACTTGGGTTTAGGATATCAACTCCCTTGTGTTCTCTACTACCTTGCCCAACTACCCCATAGGTAGGTCTGTGTACACTGGGACCTGGATCTTTTCTTGGTCTTTACATTCCATGCACCCTGCTCAACTGTGAGAATCATACTGATCCATCATAATAGTGCTTTAGGTTGATGATGCTAACACATATGTAGAATATCTTTTTATTTTACAATTATGTTTAAGTTAGAAATGGGCCTTAGTAAGCAGTCACATTTGACATAACATGATTAATGTAGAACCTTTGCAATATTAGGCAGCTCATTTCATTTTTATTAAAAAATTAATTTTATTTATTATTATTATTAAATTTGTTGTAGGGCACACATGCTCACTATAGAGAGACATAGAGAGAGGGAAAGCGAGAAAGCAAGCCACCTGGTCTGGGACTTAAACCTTGGTCAACCATGTGGAAGTCTAGTGTCTTAACCACCATGCAACCTGCTCACCCCAGGCAATTCATTTCTGAAAACAGAATGTTGTGGGGAACCAGCAGTTAGCGTAATGGCTATGTCGCTGGACTCCCACGTAGTCAACCACGGTTCGTGTCCCGGACCCGGTGGCTTAAAACTCACACCAGGCGCATGTGCGTGCGTGCCCAAGATCCCGGGAGGAGAATGGAGGAGAAGGGATTGCGGCGTGACCATCCCCCCTGGGGGGTGATTTCTTGCTTTCTGTCTCTATGTCTCTGTCTGTCTGGCGAGCACACGCACCCTATAGCAAAAACCTCTCAAAAAAAAAAATAAAAACAAAAACAAAAAAGACAATCCTAATGTATCATCAGATAGCAGAGAGGTAGTTTTCCAGGACTTGAAGAGTGGGGATTAACTGCAGAGACATGGGAGAAGTTTTCGATGAGGCTGAAATATTCTTTATTTTGACTGTAGGGGTAGTTACAAGAGTGTAGAAATTTTTCAAAGTTCTGAACTTGTAGCATTAAAAGGTAAGTCATCAGCATATCAGTGATGTTTAAAGCCTGGATGAGACCACCAAGAGAGTGCAAGAAGATAGCAAATAGGCACTTTGACATTAAGTAGTGAGGATATAGCAAAGGGGGTCAGAAATAAAGGCCAGAGAGGAAGGAGAAAAACTGTAGCAGCATCCTGAAAGCCAAGTGAAGAACATTTCAAGGAGGAAATAATTAATTGCCTAAAATGCTGTCAATAATATCAAGGAGGAAGAAAACACAGAATTGACCACTGGATTGCAATGTGGTAACCTGGTAGCAAGAAGAGTTTGGAGTGGGTTCAAGAAAGAATGGAAAGGAGGTGGAGATAGTAAGAACAGACAACCTGAGAATTTTTGCTTTTTAAAGTGAAGTGGAGATGACAAAGAAGCTCAAAGGGGATGAAATATTCAGATTTGATTTGGAAACATGTCTGCATGCTGATGATAAGGGATGGTTAATAGAGTAATGACCTGGGATACAGGCTCTAGTCCACAACCTTAGCTAGTTCACATAAAAGCACCTGTGGAATGGCACTGACACTATGGAAAGTGGATAGAGGAGGTGGAGGGATGTTATGGAAGGCTTCTGTGGGTTGCTCCTATTTTGTAAGAGAAATAGGAAGCAAAGTCTCTGCTGGGACTGAGTAGCAGAGAAAGTTCAATCAAGGAACTATTGGGTTGTTGGATATGCAAACATGTTTCCAAATAAAATCTGGTTTTACATCCCCTTTGAGCTTCTTTATCATCTCCATTTCACTTTAAAAAGTGGACAACCCGGAGTAGGCCCTGCGCCGGCCCACATGGGCCCGGCCACGGGTCTCCCACCGCCCCCAGGGACCCCCGCGCCGAGCGAGCGAAGCGGCGGTGGGCGGAGTAGGCCCTGTGCTGGCCCACAAGGGCCCGGCTGCGGCCCCGCCACCCCCGGAACCCGCGCCAAGCAAGGCGGCAGGAGGCGGGGCCCCCCCCCAGGGCTCTGCCCGGCATTCAGCTGCCTCTCC